CATGAAATCTCTATGAAAATAACCAACAAAAGCACCATAAACAAATATTCTCAATACATTGTGTGTTAGGATGTTAACAGTAAAAGTCCTATTAAGTTAAAGCCTCCCCCTGGCTCAAGCATCTTTTGTCCATTCATACCCCTTCTTTTCTTTAATGTCAGGTACAGATGCCTCTAAAGAAGGACAGCTGCAGCGTAGCATGAAACCGACAAAGACGACAAACAGCAGTTGATACAAGAGTGAATGAATTTAAAAATCAAGTGCTATTTTCAAAATGGTGAGATGTATGCAGAATGGTACATATAAAGAGAATATGTAAAAACTACTCTGGAAAAAAGTAATGCCACCTTAAATTTTCTGGTTAAAATACAATTCTCCAAATTTATCAAAGCAATTATATAGTCACAAGAGACCTATAAAAAAGCATGTTAGCCATAAAATTAAATAGTGCATATAATATTCACCTATTATGTCAGGTAACTAAACTAAAAAGCGATTAAAATATAACAGTGATGTAATGAAATATTAGTAGAGACACAAAGCAACAGCTGTGTTAAAGTTGGATTTTAAATCTACCTATTAGTGTAAACACCTTTAAGTAGATCTTTCTCACTTCTTAAAACAATTGCATAGCAGTTTAAGTTTTTATTAACAAAAAGTTAAAGCTGCAACTGACATGCTTTTGAAAGCCCCCATGTCCCAAATGGAGCAGGAAGCCACGTTTTTATAGCAGCAGTCTATCACAGCTGCATACTCTACTTCTGAGGGAATTGTGTAAAAAAAAAAAAAAAAAAAAATCTGCAAATTTTGTCAGTAACAACCCTCCCCCCGCTTTCCCCTAACTTGGTGGTGAGGCTGCACCTGACCCTGCCACAAGGGCCAGACCTGCCACAGAGGTCTATGTCCCAGAGGGAAAGGCGCTGCAGGGTAATCTCCAACCTCTGTGAAGCCAGTGGCCTGAGCTCCCTACTGCCATGTTGGAACCTCCATATTTATTTATTGACAAATAAATCTGCAGAATTTAAAAAATATTGTGTGCAGAATTTTTATTTTTTTGGTGCAGAATTCCCTCAGGAGTAGCAGGCGAAGTAACTCACCAGGGTTAGCAGCCCCGCACCAGGCACACCAGGTGTGGGCAGGCAGACTCAGTCCGGCAGGACCTAAATGTGGAGGGGTCCAGGAGTGAGGGGAGAGGGTTCGATGTGGAGCAATCTGGGTGGGGGCAGCTCAGTGGGGGGGATCAAGATACACAGGTGCTATAGGACTCTGCGGAGGGGGTCCAGGTGAAGGTGGTTGGGACTCAGCAGGGGGTTCTGGGTATAGGAAGATGGGTCCAGGTGCTGGGGGAATGGGACTTGATAGGGTAGGGGTCCAGGAGCAGCTGGTTGGGGCTCAGTGGAGTGGGGGATCCAGGTGCAGGTGGCTATGGAGTGGTCCAGGTGCACAGGGGATAGTGCTCGTCAGTGTGTGGGGTGGTCTGGGTTTCGGGGGGGGGGGGAGAGAAAGGGGCTGGAGTTGGGCAGACAGGGGAGCAGCCCCCTGTACACTGATCCCTTCCCCTGTGACTGAGGAGCAATGGAGGCAGGAAGCGGGGGGAGAGGGGAGATACAGAGCTGGGAGAAGTTTCTGGGAGTGGGTCTGACCCAGACCCAGACCCAGCCGCTCTGTGCAGGTCAAGTGCACTCCTCTCCCCACCCCAAGTGGGACTAGCCTCTGAGTCCGGTGCAGAATGGGAGCCACCAGTCAGGGTGGGGCTGGGGCTCGGCAGGGCTCTGGATGCAGGAGGTGAGGCTGGTGGAGTATGGGTATAAGGGGTCCGCAGCCCCAGCCAGAGCAGCCCCAGCCCTGCACCGCCTGCAATGACTTAACTCTCCTCTGGCTGCACCCAAAACAACTTGCCTATGCTGCTGGGTAGGGGAGCGTGACTGCTCTTGCAGCTTCTCTTTGCTTCCCTATTAGAAAGTAATTTTTCTTCAGGGAAGCACAGAAATCTGCATGGTACATGCATTCTGTGCGTACGCAGTGGCGCAGAAAACACTCCAAGTTTTGTGGCTTGGCTACTACAGTAGCTTTAGAAATATTCAATATCACAGGAAGTTACAAAAAAATCCAAGAACACTACATTTTACACAGTAGCTATTTAAAAAAGAACAAAGAATATGTTATAGCAGTATATGTAATGAGAAAAAGTAGAAGTTCAGGAGATTAGTTTAAGGATATCCTTTTGTCTACCTATAAAATCAATTATAAGCTAGTCAGGGCAGGTCCCACATCTTCCTATATATTTGTGTAGTGCCTAACACGCTGGCTGCATTGTCTATAGGGGAAGAAACGGTGCGTTCTTAACTTGGGTGAGTTAACACACACAAGGTAAAGTCTTCATGCACATCTAAAACATTTGGATAAATAGTTTCAGATAATGAAGGGAAATGACGAAGTATAAACCAGGGGTTCTCAAACTGGGGATCGGCACCCCTCAAGGGGTAGCAAAGTTATTACATGGGGAGTCGTGAGCTGTCAGCCTCCATCCACCACAAACCCCGCTTTGCATCCAGCATTTATAATGGTGTTAAATATATTAAAAAGTGTTTTTAATTTGTAAAGGGGGGTTGCACTCAAAGGCTTGCTGTGTGAAAGGGGTCACCAGTACAAAAGTTTGAGAACCACTGGTATAAACAGACCTGGAAAGGGTTTTAGGACAATGTCTGGGGGGCAATGGTGTCACACAGAAAGGGAGAAGAGTGAATGGAAGCAGAAGCTGCTAGCAATGGAAGGCGCAATCTGGCAGTAAATAAGGAGTAGTCAGAGCATACTGAAGTTTAGCGAATTGCTTCCCCAGGTGGTAAGAAAGGGGTTCGGGCAGAACCACCGGCCTGGAACGTGCGGGTTCGGCTGCTGCCACGACCAGCAGCAAGTGCCGCTGCCAGCGGCCCCTTAGAATGACCTCGAGCGCCACAACTCCCGACCGACGGGAACCGGCGCTGAAGCGGCGGCACGGACGAGCCCCCCGTGATCGTTTCTGCGCTGGCGGCTTTTCGCCTAAAAAGTTCCCACAGCGGCTGCCATCGGCTCAGCGGCACCAGCGCTAACGCGGACGGGTTGCGGTGACCACGGCCGCTTTCGCCAGGGCCCGGCCGGAGAAAGGGGCTCTCGGCTGGGCGGTTACGCGCCAGCAGCCCGACTGCATTAGCGCGCTCGCCGCGGCGAGCGGGGGCCGGCCCAGCAACGGGGGGAGACCCGCGGAGGCAGCTCGGGGCAGCCCGAGAGCAGCGCCTGTCACCTGAACAGCGGCTCCGGGTCGCTCGGTACCAGCCGTGAGCGCGCGCGGGGGTGGGGGAGGGGTTGGTCTGGGAGGCCGCAGCCGGGGCTCCCTGCGCCACTCGGCGCGTGCCCCCGCCCCGCGCATCGGTTATTATCGGAGGAGGCGGGGCGGGTTCGGGGACCAGCCTCGTTCCCAGGCGAGGACAGTAACTACCTGCCCGCCTCAGCGGGTCCCCGCGCGCAAGGCCCCGCCCAGGGGGCTGAGAGGAGGGCGCGGCCCCCACCCCGGCCGCGAGTCCCCCGCTCACCTGCGGCGGCGGCTCCTCACATCCCCGCCGAGGGGCGGCCCTGGCCCGGCGCGGGAGGAGGGAAGGTGGGGCTGGTCCCTGCACGCTCCGCCGCCATGGAGAACCCAGCGCCCAGTCGCGACTCACTCTTCCAGCCCGCGCCGCCCCAGGCCGTCACAGCCGGCGGAAGGGGTGGGGCCAGCGCGGGGACGAGGCAGCGGCGGCCCCGCCCCAGGAGCCCCGACCACGTGAACGCGGAGGGGGGGGGGCCTCCCGGGCCTGGCTCTGGCCGCGCGCCCCCTGCAGCAGCAGTGGAAGATAGGCTGACCAGACAGCAGGTGTGAACAAGGGGGCGGTGGGGGGGTAATAGGAGCCTATATAAGAAAAAGACCCAAAAATCAGGACATCTGGTCACCCTAGCGGAAGAATTGCTCTGTGCAACCTTGTCTCTGTCCCCGACTGCGGTGGGGATGATAAAAGATACTACCGGCCTGCCTAGGGTGACCAGATGTCCCGATTTTGGGGTCTTTTTCTTATATAGGCTCTTATTACCGCCCATTCCCAATTTTTCACACTTTGCTGTCTGGTCACCCTACCTGACTCCCCCACCTTGTCACCCCCACCTGCAGGGGAGGGGCTGGTCCTGATCTCCCACCACCAGCTGAGCTAGATCTCCAGTGTGTGCCGGGAACTAGAGCTGGGGCACGACCTCGCCTCCTCCACGAACCATTTAGTGCTATCATGAACTGGACAGAAAGGAGCACAAGGTGGGGAGGCCAGTTATTGTATTGAGGCTAGCTGTTCCTTTCCTGACCGGCTCGCCCCCGCTTTCCCGCCAACCTTAGTTTTTATTTGTTTAAACAAGGCAGATAGGCAAACCATTTATCCCCAAACCCTCTCCCACCCAGCCACAGTCCCAAAGTAGTTATCTATGTCAGCCCCAGCCTCCCTTTTCTTAAATTTAACAAAATCTGAAACAACAATGAAAGCTTTTAAATCTTTAAGGGAAAAAATGTGTTATACTATGGGATAAATTGCATTGTCCTTTACTTCTCAAATAATGGATAGATAGGAGGTTAAATATGTTCTGTAACTTATCTTCCCTTTTCCCACTTTTTTTCCTTACTATTTTATACTTTCCTCTGGTCAAAATATATTTTCCCTTATGCACTACAAGTACTATTTTTGATTAAAGTCTCGGGTATATTTTATACTCTGACTAGTTGAGCCTCTTTCTCAACCTGACAAGAGTGATATACCCAACTTTAACAGCTCATAGGCTTAGGAGCCAGGGGTGGTGGTGGTGGTGGGTTTTTTTGGACAAGACTACAATATTCCTCCTGACATGCTCTAAAACTTAAACTGCAGGACAGCCTTTGAATGTGTAAGGGGACAGTCCAAAACTACAAGTGACAGTGTGCATATGGAGAAAGCACGGTGCATGATTGTTACCTTTTCAGATGGGGGTAGATTCTGTTTAGCTTCTGTGCCTTGCTGCCAGTCTTGTCTTTCCAACCTCTCTCATAGGTCAACTTGGCTCCTTGTTGCTCTTCTTCGTAAAGGGTTGCATCTGGCTTGCTTTTTTATTTTTCAAATAACAGAGAATCTTTGTTTTCTCTCTGAGGCAGCTCACTGTATTTCCTCACCAAGTGACTACTCATTTAATTCAATCTTAACATTACTAGACAAAAATGGCCCCTCCCTGTACCAGACAGTCTCTATAGCATACTGAGGATCGAGGGATGTTTTTAAATTCTAGGCCTATTTTACTTCCCATTGCATTTTATCTTGTGGATACAAGATTAAAACTGATGTAAAAATCATAACATTAAATGTATGTGCTTGTAAGAACTATTGCCCAAGTAAGCAAATATGTAAAGGCCTGAATTTTATGTAACTGTTTTAAAGGGGTACTTTCATGCCTCAATAGCCTTGTGTCCAGTGCTAAAATGGATTAAACAAAAATATAAAATATACTGTGCAAAATGGTGCAATATGAAAGATGTGTATAAATGCTTAAAACACTGAGCTTTCTCAGATGTTAAGTGTTAAAGAAGGAAATTTGGAGCATGTTGGATCCTAAAACTGATTGAGCTAGTCTAATCTCGGACACATCTTTCTTTGACCCTCAATCAACTCAGCAGAGAAACTAGGTAGACATAGGGAAATAAGTACAAAACCAGAAGTTGCATTCCCAGCCTCAAAAATGTATGATTTAAAATTTTCTATTATTTGAGCAAAGGTTTGCAATTCCTGTTCATTATCTCACGCCCTTTGGAAATACTGAATATATTATATATTTTTAAAATTAAATATAGTTTAATACAATAGTAAAATCGGTATCATGTAAGACTGATTGATTAAATGCGTACAGAGTACTTAGCACTAGACTTCAGCTCTAGAGGTGCCCATTATAGCAACCTTTTCCTCCTACACCCCAAAAAAATACAAGCCAAAAAAAAATCAGCCTTTTAACAAACCTCTAGGAACATTATTAAAGGGAACAATGAATAAATACATGTAAAATATTAAATGGATTACTTCAAGTATTGTAATTTCTTCAAGGAACTTTGTGAGTTTTTAGCTGCTTCTTTTGTTCGTGTAATCTTGATTGCTGCCTCTGTCCAAAAAAAATTTAACCTTGTTTCAGACAAAAACATGAAAGTTTAGCCTAGCCCACGTTTCATCATGAATCATTCAATCATTATCTCAAAGCCCAAGACTATGCTCTGTCACATGAAGTGTTCAAAGTACAGTATCTCTGAATAATTCATAGCAGGTTTCGTTACATAACGTTTCAACCATGTTTCAGAAATACTAGCTGCCAATTGGAGTGAATCCCGAATGTTAGGATGATGGTGACCCAACTAATGCATTTTTGCAGTGTAACTTCTCATTTAGACCCAGTCAGCAAAGTAATTCAAGTGTCTTATTGAATTTCACATTGAAGGTCTGCAGAGGCATACTCCTTTGCAGGACTGGGGCCAAAATCCTTATGAATTCTGGGCTAGATTCTCTGGCCTATTGTGGTCCCTTTGCTCAGTTCAGGCAGTGCAAAGCAGGTAGAAGCTGCTCACATCTCTAGAGCTGGGTACTCTTCTTAAGCCGAGAGTCCCAAGCACACAGTCGTATTAGCTGTTTCATAAGCCATACTTCCCACTCCGAGAGAACCTGAGGAAGGGATTGTACTGTGGTGGGGAGAGGGCAGATATCCCCAGGTGGTGCCTAGTCTCTTGGGTGACTGTTACCAGCTGAAATAGTTTTAAAACATCTCCTAAAATATTCTAAATTCAATAAGGGCTGTAGCTGGCAAAAAAATGGAACCTGGAATCAGGGAGGCTCCCTCTACTGCACTTAGTAAACACAGCACAGCAAAGAATCTGGGTTTCTGAGTTCACTAAGACAATAATAGTATGTCTTACCCAGGTTATTTGACATATTACCAAATTACTGATTATCTTCACTAATATCAACAGAACAGAAAGTAAATTATCTTGCTGCTTCTATATTCTTTCAACTTCTTGCGAACACACACATCCTACTTTATTCCTGTCAATATGGACATTTTATTTCCATTTGTATATCATAATGTGCCATTCAGCAAAGAGTTAAAGGGACATTGTTAAGGTTGACAGCCTCAAAATTCTCAAGCAGAAAGTGAAAGATATTAGCACCGACAAATGCCATTGTTTCACTCAGAGCAGGAACTCCATTTTAAGATTGTTGTAGCTCTCACTTTGGAATGTTTTTGGTAAGAGGAGTTGACTGTCAAATGTTTGGGCTTGTTAACTCTGTCCCCCTCTAAACCTTGTAGATAGAAATCCTAGGAACTTGTCTAAACTGAGGTAATTCGCCTCCCGTGCAACTCTGCCAGTGATAGCAATCATGAAAGCAAAGCTGTAATGTAGACAGGACACAGCTGGTTTTAACACAGTGCTACATAAAATATGTGCTCTCCATTTCTCTATTAAAGCTTCCACTACTGGAGCACTGGTGGAGCTGCTTCAGTGGAGAATTACAGGTCTAAATTTTCCTAATATCAACATCCCTAAAGTATATACCCTCCATCTTATTTCCTATTCAAAAGGTTCAGTGATCATGCATGTGGGAAGAGAAGTGTCAGCCTGTATAATTTTTTAGACTTTACATCTGATCACATTTGAATTATCACTGCCATCTTTGAATATAAAATAGAGCCTGGGTGCACAGTTGAGAGTATTGACACTAATTGTTATTCACTACCCACAAAATATCATCTTTGACAGACACCTTTTTCCTTTTTAAAATTAATCCAACTCTGATTTGCAGTAGCAATGGCATAACCCCTTCAACACAAGTAAAGAAGCTAACACAACATTAATCATTCCTGCTCATAAATCCTGCACTCAGAAAGACACACTTGATACTCACACTTTTGTTAGCCTACACCGTCAGACATGATAGCATAATGGCGACTCTCAAAACGTTGACAATGTCACTATAGCACTGGGTCCAACTGAAGGCAGAATTTGATGGCAGCCTGCATAATATTCCAAGTGGTTTCTACTCTCACTTCCTGAGAATCATTCAGCAATGGGGTTAGAGGTGTACTCTGCTAAACAACGAGCCAAAATATAGAAATGTATGGACAGAGTAAGTAATTATATTTGAGATATAGAGTTTGCAGAGGACTTCAAGCCCTGACAGGTATTTATAGCTTAAGAAAAATGCTCAGTTCATCTGTAAACAAACTGCTATGGTATTAACATATTAAAGCCTTGACCCCTTGTTGTCACTGTGTGCTTAATTCAGTCATCATTCGCATGACTCTTCTTCTATATATGTACATGGGAACAGAACATCTACCACTATTCAAGGCAGGACTCCAAGTTTTGTGGATGAGCAAACAAAATAATTTTGGTTCATGCATCAGGATTAAGTCCTGTGGTGGCTAAGCCTGCGTGAAACACAGAGTATTTTCTTTATGATAAAAAGCAGAGCAGGAAAAAGTCACAAACAAGCATTGAGCTAGAAATAAGTCATTTATTTTAAAATGTTACAGATTAATAAATAGGTTAGTTATCAGAAACCTTAATAAATAGCCTTTTATAATTTACACAAGGCAAATACAACATGCCTATATCTATTTTTAAAAAGCAAAGATAGTAAGCTAAACTTGTAAGCCATTAACAAATCTATATACATATTATTCGGAAGCTAAAATAGTCCATTTTCATTTCACCTGTAGTAACTATATTGCAGTAGTATTTAAGTAACCAAACCTCTGACACTGTATATTTGTTCCCATCCATATTTTCCACATTCCATTAAAATTAATTTAAACACACACACACACAAAAAAAAAAGTTCCCTCATTTAAAAAATAGCTCAAGATTATCCCTTCTATATAACATTTTTTCCCCTGCAAAGTGCAAACCATCTGAACAGAAAAAATAAAAACTTGTAATTCTTTAAAAACATTTCCCCCAACTTTGAAAAGTATTCTGGACTTTCAATTTCCTAATTTTCATCCTTTGCAATCTTTCAGTTTCAACACTGCTGTATGAAATACGTTGGCACTAAGAGTTCTGGAGCTCCTAACATCATTAGTGCAAATGCTACATGCACTAACATGTTCTGTAGCACTTAAACCCCATATTCCCTGGCCCCAAAGAGTTAATTACAAAGACTAATCTCCTTGAAGGCAGGAAGTTAAGTATAATTAGATATAAATTTGTTTCAATAATAAACTTCAGCAGTTCTGTAGATTACACTCTCTAAGGACAGTATAGAAAGTATTACAATGTCCTATGTTTAAGTAAGAAAGCGAGAGTGGTACATTTCAACTTTCAGTGCATTGCAGTTTGAGGTCCCTGTATTTATTTTCTTTAAATCTTTCTTGTAATAAAAAAGCCTCTTATTTTAAAATAAAAAGGAAAAGTAACGCTTACAGCTTCCATTATTTTAACAAAATCCAGTGCTTTCACTGTCAGTGCTAGTTACTTCAGAAAAATACATATACAGTCAGTATAAACCAAAATTATTATTAGGAAGCATCACTTGTCAGAGTGTATATGACATTCTTATTCATATTAGTTTCAGGTGACTAATGAATAGGCTTTATTTACACATACAGTATCCTGGATAATTAGTACAACAGCTATCTTCTTTAGACATTTTGCTTTTTATACACGGATATTTAGGATTTAAGAAAAAACATTTTTTGGTTGTATCAAAAATGGTTCTATTCTTTTGTTGGATGTTTGGGGGATTTATGTGGGTAACACCTACTAAAGATAGTGGTGCCTACACATGTCAATCCTCCATACTTTGAATGGCTAATAGTTCTCAAAATTTATCTTCAACAGATTAAGAGCATTGTATACGTAAATATGTCTGATAAATTTAACAGAAGCCACAGAAACTGAGAAACTCCTTTCACCGTGGGAATAAATATATTTTAATGCATCCCATCAATATAATCAGTCCACTTTACAACACTTTTTATGTATAGCTTCTGTCATTTCTGCTTTGGAATCAGAATTTAAGTAATCTGGCTTTTGGCTAATCGATATAAATAATTTATGAAGCAATGTGAAAAGGGTGGGCCCAGTGGGCGGAAGACCAAAGCTCAGGAGACAATTATTTTCTCCCTGAGACGATGGAACTCAGAAGTATTATTCAAAGGTGCTCCCTTGCCTTGTGGGAGGAAAAGAGAAGAGTTGACAGTTCACGTCAACAGTGCAATTTTTTTTAAACCAGAGAAGCAACATGAAAAGACCTAGAAAAGGTAAGAGGTCTGGGATAAGAGGAAGGGGAGAAAGATTCCCATCAACAGTGACAATACACACAATGTCAATACACTTTTAAAGTTAGAATTGAGCCAGATCCAGTTAGAGACAGGAAATAAAAAGAACACCGCTATTTGCTGAACAAAGAGTAACAAAAATAATTTTTTTCATTATTTATCATTCATGATGTAAAAGGCTGTAGGTATACATGACGTGCAAGGCCACTTGAAAAGCTTTTCTCCGTATGTGCTGGCTTTTGGCATCTCCATTTCAAGAAGTTCAGAACATGGATGAGGAGGAGCTGGAGAGAAGAGGAGAATTCCTGCAGAAGTTTATAAGCTCCAAGGATGATAGGAAGACCAAAGAATACATCTGCTATTTCAGTCTTCCCCTGCGTAGAGACTGCTTATCACAACTTGGTTTTGAGATGTGGAAAGAGGTTGCTTTGGGACAGGGTAATCTTGTTGGTTTGGGATTCTATAATTTTAAAATTTGCATAAGCACCTAGCATACGAGGATAGGCACTTTTTAATCAATAAAAACGTAAATAAGCAAACATACTTGGCCAAATAAGGACTAGGATGAGATATGACAGTCATGTTCACTTTGAACTGAGAAAGAATTTGGATGAGTTTGCAGAGATTAATGGCTAGTATACCAAACCAATGTGCAACCCTTAAACCCTGAATGTATACTTTAAAAAGATGGCTTGACTACTTCAGAGAACAGCTGTCATTTTAAGAAGTGAATTACAAGTCTACTTGTCTATTTTTATTTATTTAGGATCCAGTTTTCAAACAGAAAAGGGAACTACTACCATTTACAAAGTCACCCTTTAGAGTAACCAAGATATCTTCTTCCAATCTATACAATGTAAAAAAGAGGAGAACTCAGCCAAATCTTATTTAAAATTCAACACCTGATTCTCTCATCTAGAAAAATCCTGCCTAGAAAAAGTGACATAACCCCATATAAAAGTGTTTTTAAAATGCACACAAATTTCCTGTTTGCTAGTTCTTTTTTCCCTTTTCCTGGCCTAATATCATAAGATATCTTTCCATCATTTCTCAAGTCTAAATCATAACAGCTGAGATTTTTGGATGTAAAATTCTCTGTCCTTTCCTCCATATATCAAATAAAATACTTTGATTTGATAACCCCCGTGTTGTCAATAGAGTGACCAGACAGCAAATGTGAAAAATCGGGACAGGGGTGGGGGTAATAGGCGCCTATATAAGAAAGACTCAAAAATTAGGACTGTCCTGACTGGTCACCCTAGTTGTCAATCCTGTATGTTCAAAAATCATGTCAGGCCTCCATAAAACATGACACTGGCTTAAAAATAATACACTTGAGGTTCTTTTTATTTGCCTTCAGGTTTTTGAGCCTTTAGTGTTCCCTGAGGTTGCATTTTCATGATTTTCTCTGTAACTATGAGGGCTAGCAACTTACTTTTCTTTTAAATCAAAAACCAAGAGTCTCAAGTAGTCACATGACTCCAGTGAGCTGGGGTTTTAAAACAAAACACCAATTATTGAGAGTTAGCAACACCTCTAAATAACCAAGGTTTGCATTACCTACTGCTAGCCCACAAACTTAACTACGTGATACTGTTCTTGACCTCTTGTTATAGACTGACATTTGTAACCTTCTCAAATGGTGTCTGGTGACCCCGCATTTTGTCTCATGAGACACTCTGGACTGCCAAGTGTTCTATAGTCATATGCTATGCAAATCTACTTTTATCTCCAAACTTAAAACAAAAGAATTTCTCTCACATATTTTCAAGCCTTTGGTACACTCTTCCAATGACATTATGTTTATAATGATCACTGATTACATTGTTCCATGAAAATTATTTTCACTCCAAAGACAAGATCAATACACCCTTCTAAATATTAGTGAATATCAGTAATTTCTCCTATTGTTTGATACATTAATATACTGTAATCCAGGTAATCTAAACCAATCAGTTCAGAATCATTTGTACCATGGCTTGAGCCACTTGCACAAGCCTTTAAAATACTGCTGCTGAACTACAACACAGCTGTGAAATACTGGATCTGAATGCGTGTGTACTGGATTACTCAACTCCACCTTTCTAAAGGCCATAATCTTACCCATCCTTCTTCTAAATTAATCAAGAAATCTCACACCTGTGCTTCTCACAAACTTTTTGCTCATAACAGTGCCAGTTCACAGCCTGATTTCATAATCGGCAATCTAGTGACATATAAGTCCATTTACTCATTATCCTGTTCTGAAGAACAATTTTGTCAATTAGCTACTTTATTAAATAATTTCCTATATTCTGTTGTATAACTGGATTCTACATATACTGGATTGCTGTAAGTAGACCTCTTATCAGTTACTTCTCATTATGATTATAGATGTTCACAGAAGCCACCAAAACATCTCAGCATTGACTTCAGGCTTGTAACCTTTCCAAAAATATTCTTACCTTTCTGTCTGCTTTACATGCTTATAATTTGAGTACAGCCAAATATTACAGACAACAAAACTGGATTATTCTAACCTGTTACAAGCTCTCAGAAACAAACATTCAAATTAAGTGATATTTTTAGATTACAAAGGCACTGGATAACCCACCATGTATACAGGAAGACTGTGCATCACTTCCACATCCTTCATGCTCTTCCTATCCATTAACCGTGAAAAGCTCTTGGATGAATGCTGTATGTCTTAATGCACTTAAAAGAGTTATGAATAAAAGGTATACCTGTAATCTGGATGCTAGTTCCAGCTGGATCTGTGAGCTAGTTTCAGTTGATAAGTAAGTAGTGGAAGATTTTAAGGGTTAGATGCACTCCGCTATACCAATGACTTAATTTAGAACCCCCCAGTGCATTCACCTGTGTCTGTCCAAATTACAGAGGCAGTTACTGTACAAAGGACAAACCTGTAGTCCACAATTCAAATCAAAATTTGTTTCACAATTGACAGCCTGGACAGTGAACACATTGCTGTTTTAAGGAAATTAATAGAATTGTTCCATTTGCTTACAATTTTTTTTAGGGCATACACCATTCATGAAAGGTGCCAGACTGAGTGCATTGGAAACTGATGTTCTCTGTCCACAGAACGAGTACATCACAGGCAGTCTAATGTAAAGATTTACTACACTGGCCTGCCAGAATGTCATCAAACCTTTTCTGGATCGATCAGCTTTTTAGGGGCAAGGAGATACATCAGTCTCTATGCTGATTCATTCCTTAGCCTTCCTGCTGAGACAGTCAGCAATGATACCAATTAATGTCAACTTATTATGGTGATTTTGGGTATGTGGATAACTGTCCATTAAAACTGGATGTAGGCCACCAATTCATTTCACACAAGCTACCACTCTCTCAGAGGGTAACGTCTGCCAATCTCAATCATGATGGAATCAGTGACCTAGAAATGGAAGGCTCTGTATCATTCCCTGAGCCATCCAGTTCCCCTCAAATATGATTTTAATCTGTCTTCACATTAGGTTTATTCAAATCCCCAATATTGAAGTTGAACTCCTTGAAGACTTGTATAAGAACAATTCCAATAGATACAGTGATGAATCCACAAGCCATCCCCAAGAAATCTACCACTCCCACATTACTCCACTCCCTAAAAAGGATGGCTGAGGCCAGCAGGACTAAAGTGGTGAACACGACGTAGTAGATGGCACCAAACACAGATGAGTCAAAACATTCCAGTGCCTTATTGATATACTTGAACTGAATGATGATGCTACATCCTAACACTGCCAGAAGAACCAAACAGAGGTACAAGGCTCTTTGACTTGATGGATTATTGTGAAAGATATCTTGAGCAGCCAGCCCAATGCCTTTTGTGCTGGGCACAGTGAAACTGCCCAACAGTGAGCAAATACTGATGTAAACCATAATATTAGTGGGTCCATGAGCTGGCGCTATCCAGAAGATAAGCAGGAGAAGCATGAGAAGTACTATGCAGAGGTAGCCCACAAACACTGAAAAAACAAAGAAAACAAGTTAATGGCTTGTTAACGGCAAGGTAGAAACTTTTGCCCCAGGTAATTTATTAGAGATATTTAAGGGCTCAGTCATGAACCCCTAAACATGGTAATGTATAAGGATATGTACACAAAGCTTAGGATCTCCTATCAACTAAAGAACAAAAGCCTTTGAAATTGGTTAAATCAATGTACAGCTCTTTGTGTAAATCAAATAATAATGTATGAATACCAACTGTTTCACACTAACTGGATTTAAAGTTTTTTTTTTTAAAGCTGACATTATATTCCTATTAAAGTCCCCTATGAAGAATGGTTGTGATATAACCACATTCATAACTCTGACCTGAATTCCGCAAAGTACCTAAGCACATACTTAAGTCCCATGAAAGTCAATGGGATGAATAGGACACACTTCAATAGTTAATTTTGGTCTGGCTGGACTATTAAAGGCACAAAAATACTTCCTTTACTAACAATTTTAGGTACACTTTAGATTTGAATTTCAGTGAAACTGAAAATGTTAAATAGTTCTCAGTTTAGCATCCATGAAGCACAGAGAATATGCCGAACAACTAGCAGGTAAGGAAGGGTTCACAAGCAAGTCAGTCCAGTGATTAGCAGGAAAGAAAAGGAACTTCACAACGTGTTTTATTGGCACATTCATATATGCCTTCAGTGTGCAAAAGCAAACATCTACTTGATACATAAGTAATGTATATGTGCACGATCAAAATAGATCCTATTAGGTCTTAAAGCTATTTGGCAACAAGAAGTGCAAGGATTTTACCCACAAAGATTCAATTTTTGTTTAGAACCCCTTAAAGTGAGCTCCTGAAATTACAGTTTTGATTCTTTCCTCAAGAGGAAACTACATAAAACACCTCTTCATCATTATAGAAAACAGGTTACAAGTCCAACTCACAGCCAAGTTGGTTTCTTCACTTAAAAAAAGAAAATAATTTATTTGCAGTTCTTGACTTACCATGCAAAAATGCAATGATTTACATTGTAAGGAAAAACTGAAATGGAGAATTATTTCAAAGCACTAAAAAAAAACCCACTTTTGCGAAGTTGCAATCTTGAAAACTGAGCCTTTATTTCTTCTTTAGATCAGATCCTAGCCCTTGTTATGGCTACTCTGCACCTCCTTGGTGACTCAAAGCAACTGCAACATCAGTTTAACCAGCTAATAGAGGATTCCACCCGCATTGGAGAATCCTTAGGTGGTGCAGAAACTACTACACCGCTCCCTGTGTTCTCAACCCCTTGGTACAGGGGGGCATAACCAGCATGTCTCTATACCCCATGCATAACCAGCATGTCTCTATGCATCCGAAGAAGTGAGGTTTTTACCCACGAAAGCTTATGCCCAAATAAATCTGTTAGTCTTTAAGGTGCCACCAGACTCCTTTTTGTTTTTGTAGATACAGACTAACATGGCTACCCCCTGATACTCTATACCCCATTGAGCTCCAGTTTATAGAATGGCCCTTTGTGGCCAGAGGTAGTTGAATACATTAAAGCAGACTAACTTATGCCAGTAACTGGCTGGCTCCTGGACAGCACTAGAAGCAGGAAACTACAAGCACAGACAACCCAGGATCAGAGCCTTCGAATTTGTCTGCTGGCCAGTTTCTAACTCAGGACAGTTTACCACTTAATCCATGACTATTTAGGTTTTTTTAAATAAATAGCCTCATGAAAGATGCTGTCAAAAGGTCCATTTTCAGAAGTGCCTAAGTCAAAGGGAGTTAGGCTCCTAATTCACTTAGGCCCTTTTCAAAAAAATATCTATAATTTCTCCTTTATACACTATGTTGTTGGCACACTCAGGGAATTCTAGTACACTGAAGAGATGGTTTTCATGTATAGAAACCATGATGGTTTGTCTCCTTTATACCGTATTTGCCTAGGAATGCAGAAGCCTTAATACCACTAATGTTGCTGCTTTGGGGAAGCAACTGTTCCCTTCAAATAAGTGTTCCTGTTCAATGCTATTATAATTTTGAAAGAGAATGAAGTACCTGGATTTGTAAGCTTCTCTTCAAGTTCAGCCTGAGTTGTTACACTCTCAGATTTTGGGGAATGGATTATGAGAACAACAGACCCAGCACAGCTCAGCAGACATCCCAACTTGCCGAGAATGTTGAGTTTTTCTTTCAGTAAGTAAGAAGCTAAAATGGACCTTTCACAAAGTGGAAGAAAATTAAAATTAATCTAAATTATTCATTCTCTTAATACATATCTCTCAGCTAGGGTATTACTTGCCATCCCTTTGTTTATTCCAAAAATAGTCTTCATGTAGCCCATTTATACGCTTCAGCCCTGTCCCAAGACAGGGGAGGAAGGTAGAAAATAAATTCAGTCTTTATGTTCATTGATCTCTCGACCTCTTAGCTGAGAGCACAAGGGGGCCAGGCCAACTGTGAGGCAGACACCTATCCACTGCAATCTGGTGGGAGATTACCAATCCATTTCACATGGGCCACAAGCAGTAAAGAGGTAGCAATGATTTTTGGTCACTAAAACTACAGGCTGGATTCAAACAAGTAAATGGCTCAAACATACAAAATACACTGCTTGTTTAACTCTGTGTGATCAGTACTGTTCAAGGCAAAGGAAGACATGACACCAACCCCAAACATTTTGCAGCCTAAAGTAGATAATCAATGCAGTTCAGATGCATAATTAAGGCTAGGTTTTAGTCACAGGTATTTTTAGTAAAAGTCATGGACAGGTCAGGGGCAGTAAACAAAAATTCACGGCCTGTGACCTATCCATGACTTTTACTATATACCCCTGACTAAATGACTAAAACTTGGGCGCAGGCAGGGCTGAGTGGGGCAGCCCAAGGAACACCGCGGGTCCTCGGGGGGACAGGATGTGCGCGGCCCAAGGGGGGTGCTGCCGTGGGTGCTGGGTGGTGGGGAAGAGACGCGTGCAGCCCTGAGGTGTAGCTGCGGGTACTGCGGGGGGGAGAGGTGTGCATGGCTTGGATGGTTGGGGGGAGGGGTGTTGCGTGCCATGGGTGCTCGGGGGAGGGGCAGCTTCCCTACCTGGCTCCTGGGAAGTGGCAACCTCCAGCTCCTAGCTCCACATGCTGCCTCTGCTCTGCCACAAGGCCCGGTTCTGCAGCTCACATTGGCTGGGAACTGCAGCCAATAGGAGCTGCGAGGGCGGTGCCTGTGGGCAGAGGCATCATGTGAAGCTAGGAGCTGAGGGAGGGGAGTTCCTGTCACCTTTCCGGGGAGCCCCCCCCTTCCCCAGGTAAGCACCGCCCCAGATCCCAATCCCCAGCCCTGAGTCCCCACCCCCATTCAAACTTCTGCTGCTGGGGGGCGGCAGGGCCCGAGACGGCCCCAGCAGCAGCCGGTGTGACTGCTCCCGAGCCAGCTGCAACAGAAGTCACAGAGGTCCCGGAAAGTCACGGAATCCGTGACTTCTGTGACAAACACACAGCCTTTTGCATAATACACCAATTACCACCACCTGGTGGAAAAAACTCCAGGGAGTGCACAGTTTTGTTTATTTTTAAATACTATTATTCTTTTATGGTAGTTTAACAGTTACAAGCTGGATACTCTCAAAATATTTAGCTGCGTATTACATTATTTTTATGAATCTTTCTCTTCACACACACACCCCTCACACTGATGCTAATGGCAGGTGTGGCAAGGGAAAAATCTCTTTGTTTGGAAAAATTGGACCAAATTCAATAGGATGCAATGCAATGTGTATTTGAAGTGGGGGAAGTAAAGGAGAGAAAGAATATGAAATAAAAAACAAAAATGGAGGAAATCCAAGCAGCAGCAAAAAGGAAAGGGATCTATGAATGATAAGAGATTAAGAGTGTAGAAACATAAGAACGGCCATACCGGATCAGACCAAAGGTCCATCTAGCCCAGTATCCTGTCTTCCAACAGTGGCCAATGCCAGATGCCCCACAGGGAATGAACAGAACAGGTAATCAAGTGATCCATCCCCAGCTTCTGGCAAATAGAGGCTAGGGACACCATCCCTGCCCATCCTGGCTAATAGCCATTGATGGACCTATCCTCCATCAATTTATCTAGTTCTTTTTTGAACCTGTTATAGTCTTGGCGTTCACAACATCCCCTGGCAAAGAGTTCCACAGGTTGATTGTGCATTGTGTGAAAAAATACTTCCTTTTGTTTGTTTTAAACCTACTGCCTATTAATTTCATTTGTTCTTGTTATGAAAAGGAATAAATAACACTTCCTTATTTACTTTCTCCACAGGAGTCATGATTTTATAGACCTCAATCATATCTCCTCTTAGTCATCTCTTTTCCAAGCTGAAAAGTCCCAGTCTTATTAATCTCTCCTCATATGGCAGCCATTCTATACCCTAATCATTTTTGTTGCCCTTTTTTGAACCTTTTCCAAGTCCAATATATCTTTTTTGAGATGGGGCGACCAAATCTGCATGCAGTTTTCAAGATGTGGGTGTACCATGGATTTATATAGAGGCAACATGATATTTTCTGTCTTATTATCTATCCCTTTCTTAATGATTCCCAACATTCTGTTCACTTTTTTGACTGCCACTGCATATTGAGTTGATGTTTTCAGAGAACTATCCACGACTCCAAGATCTCTTTCTTGAGTGGTAACAGCTAATTTAGACCCCATCATTTTATATGTATAGTTGGGATTATGTTTTCCAACATGCATTACTTTGCATTTATCAACATAGAATTTCATCTGCCATTTTGTTGCCCAGTCACCCAGTTTTGAGAGATCCTTTTGTAGCTCTTTGCAATCTGCCTGGGACTTAACTATCTTGAATAGTTTTACATCATCTGCAAATTTCACGGTTTAGCCCTTTTTCTAGATCATTTATGAATATGTTGAATGGGACTTGGCCCAGTACAGACCCCTGGGGGACACCAATATTTACTTCTCTCCATTCTGAAAACAGACCATTTACCACCACAAACATGTGGTGCAATTTTGGTAATCTGTTTAACTTGTTGATAACAGCTGACATTTAAACACTATTCATCTTTCTGGGCAAAGAATCTGTCAGCTACGTTTATTACACTTCATTAAAATGTGAGAGGGGAAAATAATGTCCACAAGCATTATGTTTTCCTGATGGAACACCAATGGTCACTGATTTTATTTAGAATCTACATTTTGCTAGCAAGTAATGCAGCATATAAATAAATAAATACAATTCTTACCCAAATGGAACGCCAAGAGCTCCTAGAGGAGTCACTAACACAGTTGGAACTGCAGTGTAGGCCAAGAAATTCCCAATTTGACCAAGTGCCACTGTTAAGAGAACCACAAAAGAGTTTTTTAAATTCCTTAGTAAATAGGAATAATGAAAAGCTACTCAATGCTGGCTCATAACTACTGACCTGACTGGAAGATGAACATTACTGAACTGTTTAGTTCTGCCCATAACTTTTCAGTTATACAAAAACTAAATTTTCCAGCTGTCTGATTTTTTTAAAATATTTTTAAATAAAGGCTGTTTGCAAAAGAGAAGGCAACAAGAGAGCATCGTCAATAATTCTGCTTATTAATGTTCTCTTCAATAATTTTTCATAATTAAGTAGGGAAGAGAGTCAAGAGACTGAGAATTTGAAACCCTGTCATGGGTTGCACTCAAATTTCCTGATGTAGGGACGTCTGAATTTAGGCATCCCATGTTCTATATCAGGGGTCGGCAACCTTTGGCACACGGCCCATCAGGGTAATCCGCTGGCGGGCCGCGAGACATTTTGTTTACTTTGACCGTCCGCAGGCACGGTTGCCCACAGCTCCCAGTGGCCGCGGTTCACTGTTCCCGGCCAATGGGAGCTGCGGGAAGTGGTGACCAGAACATCTGCATCTGCCAGAAGATTATCCTGATGGGTCACGTGCTGAAGGTTGACGACCCCTGATCTAGATTCTAGAGCAGGGGTGGGCAAACTTTTTGGGCCGAGGGCCACATCTGGGTGGGGAAATTGTATGCAGGGCTGGGGCAGGGGGTTGGAGTGCGTGAGGGAGTGCAGGGTATGGGAGGGCGTGCGGTGTGCAGGAAGGGGCTCAGGTCAAGGGATTGGGGCAGAGGAGGGGTGCAGGATGTATGAGGGGGCTCAGGGCAGGGGGTTGGGGTGCATGGGGTGCAGGATGCAGCAGGGGGCTCAGGGCAGAGGGTTGAGGTGCAGGAGCGGTGCGGGGTGTATGAGGGGCTCAGGGCAATGGGTTGGGGTGCAGGAGGGGTGCGGGGTACACAAGGGGCCTCAGGGCAAGGAGTTGGAGTGCAGGAGGGGTGTGAGGTGCAGGCAGGGGGCTCAGGGCAGGGAGTTGGGGGGCGGGGTGCAGGGTGCAGGAGGGGTTCGGGTTCCGGCCCAGCACCACTTACCTCAAACAGCTCCAGGGTGGCAGCGGCATGCACCGTGGCCAGTGCAGGCTCCCTGCGCGCCTGCCCTGTCCCCGGCCCCGCGCCGCTCCAGGAAGTGCTGCGGCCCCTGGGGGAGGGGGGGCAGAGGGCTCCGCGTGTGCTGCCCTTGCCGCACCTCCAGGTACCTCCCCCGAAGTTCCCATTGGCTGTGGTTCCCCGTTCCCGGCCAATGGGAGCTGCGGGGGGCGGTGCCTGGAGGCAACAGCCAGAGCCCTCTGCCCCCCCACCTAGGGGCCGCAGGGACGTGGTGCCGGCAGCGCCGTGGGCCGGATTCAAAGCCCTGAGGCACCCGATTCAGCCCGCGGGCTGTAGTTTGCCCACCCCTGTTCTAAAGCATGAGATATTTGTAATCCCATATAGCTGGCTGTAGTGCCCCACAACAGCACCGGTCTCGCCGAGGGACGTGAGGAAACCACTGAGTGGGTACGGGGAGAGAGGAATATTCAAATATTAAATACTTTGTTAAAAGCTGTTGGATACTAAATTAAAACACAGCTAACAGGACACGTTACAATCTGTGCACTATACAATATTCAGGGGGCAGATCCTCAACCAGCGTAACGCACCATGGAGCTATGACCATTTACACTAGCTGAGAATCTGCCCCTCACAGTCTTGTACTAAAAAATAGAACTCCACATCACTACATAAAATAACTGTGCTTAATATTTCATATATTGAAAATGTCATTAAAAAGCTGCATTATAAAAATATTGACTAGTTTTAGAAATGCCAGCCCAGCTTACCATAAGACAGCTTTCATATTAGTTATTATCAATAATAATAAACAAAAACGTTGAGACTGAATGTGCAGTACAATATACTAGACTAAACTGGAATTTCAAGTTGTGGCCATTACTAGCACTTAAAATCAAATCATTTCAAGAAACCAAGCCTTTCTGCACTCTACTGTCAAATACCATCATCATTATACTACTTCTTTATACTTAACTAATGCTTTACATCTACAAAGCACTATACAAACATTAATTCATTCATCAAATAAGTTCACAGCTCAGTAAAGCTGAGGAACCTCATAAGGAACACTGAGGAAAGAAAACAAATTTACAAGCTATGGAGTAAGGTGGCATTATGCTGACTCAATTCACTGGTGTTACCTGTGCACGTAATACTGAATCTAGTGAGGTAGCCAGCAGTCAGTCAGCCACATCTGTAAAGCCCAAGAGTCAGTCGTGATCTTTTGCATGTTGTCTTTACCTAGGAGTCGGACTGGATTAGAGTCCCTCTAAGCTCTGCTCTTTATTGAGCTCTCTCGTTTGTGTGCATGTTTTTCCAGCAAGCACATATGGCAGCTCTGGCTTGGAGATATTCAGAGTTGAAGGGAAAGACCTTGAACTGAAGAGAGAGTATGCTGGGTACACCATATCCTCCCTTGGACTCCCCACTGCTCAGTTGCTCATATTAAAATTTGCTTTTTCATGGCTCAGATCCCCTGACTTCATGGTTGAGGTGGATTGTCAGAGCCCTAGTAGCTGTACAAAGACAAATACATAAGTATCTCTGAAGTTCTACTCAAGTTATTATTCTTCATTATTTGTATTGTAGTGGCTCCTAGGAGCCCTAGTCATGGAGCCGGAAACCACTGTTAATCACTGTACAAATACAGAACAAAGAGATGGTCTCTGCCCCAAAGAATTTATAATCTAAGTTGAATTAACTCCTCAAACAGCTCAAGAAAGTCAATAATAATCTTAGCCATGTTTCAGTATGCCTGAGCCAACGCCTTTGCTTCCTCTGAGCAGAAAATGATGAGTCCGTTAGTTTTCTACATATGATTCAAGGAACGGCACTTTGTGACTGAGTGCTGGTCTTCACTACGGTGCTGCAATCGATGCAGCAGGGGTCGATTTAGCAGGTCTAGTGAAGACCAACTAATCAACGGCAGAGTCATCTCCGGTTGACCCCGGTACTCCACTTCTCCAAGAAGAGTAAGGTAAGCCAACTGGAGAGCATCTCTCGTAGACGCAGCGCAGTGAAGACACTGCAGTAAGTCGACCTAAGCTATGTCAACTCCAACTATGTTATTCACATAGCTGGAATAGCATAACGTAGGTTGACATATCCCCAAAGTGAAGACAAGCCCTATGTCCCACTACAGCCAATCTGCTTGTAGTCTGCTTCTTACTTTGGAAACAGCAGCATCATGTTTAAAATGGTTGACTATCTTCTGGCAGACCACATACAGAGGTCTCATCAAGGCTATTTTTAATAAAGTTTCTTTTGCTGGGCAAAGCACTCTAACGTTCACATTGCAAACACTGGGAAATGTGTGCAACACTTTCAGCGTTATCTTGGAAAACCACGTTTTCTTGGAAATCTCTCAGTGGCAGGGTGCCATTTATTGAGCACACTCAATGGCATCTTTTTATAGCTGTTACCACTTGCCTGCTGTTAAGAGCCTTGCACTGCAGAACTATCCATTCTTCTATTTATATGTATCCATCTCAGTAGTATTTGAGCTCCTCTTCTTTGAAGTCTGCAGTAATCCTGTGGGTTCCACCACCAAAAAACCCACAGGTGGTGTTTTTCTGGGTCTAGATGTTTGCACTGAAATAGCGGCTCTTATTTAACACTGTCACTTGCAAGTGAATTCACTCTTTTGTATCAGGGAACCAAGTTATTTAAATAAACCTTGTGGGAAGCCAGGGCCGGCTCTGGCTTTTTTGCCGCCCCAGGCAGCCGGAGCCCCGGGGGGAGGGCGGCGAGCTCCGGCGGGGGCTCCGCTCTCCCCCCAGCGGCCGGGGGGAGGGCGCCGGGGAGGAGGGCGACCGGAGCCCTGGGAGGAGGGCGGCGAGCCGCGGTGGGAGCTCCGCTCTCCCCCCGGCGGCCAGAGCACAGGGGGCAGGGCGGCTAGAGGGCGGCGAGCCCCAGCCCGGGCTCGCCGCTCTCCCCCCGGCGCCCGGGGGGCGGGCGCGGGGGGAGGGCGGCCAGAGGGCCGGGGGGAGGGCGGCGAGCCCGGTCGTGGCCCCACTCTCCCTG